TTCCAAATTTGTGATCAAAATTTTACCACCTTCTTTAAGCGCTGGAATAGGCTTTTGAGGTTTTTTCAAAATTTTTGTGAGTTTCCAAAAGGGTTTGGAACTCGGGTCTAATTTAGAAATATTACTTTCAAAAGTTTTGTTCCTCAGGGCAGAGAATCGCTTTTTAATTTGTTTTTGCAAATCACGCCAGATAACTTTCATGGCAGGATCGCGTGTTCTTTGATATTGTCTCCTACGGACATTTTTAAGACGGATCAAGAGCTGAAGATCATCGTCTATTATAATTGAATCGAATTTAACCTCGCATTTTGGTACTGAGGCAGCTCTTGCTTCAACTATAGAAGTAGTCAGAGATTCAAGAGCATAATTAATTTCATCTTTGGTTTGCAAAGGAATGTTTGGATCGAAGTTATATTCCATAAATGTTCGATATTGCTCCCAATCAGCTCTATGGTAATTGAAAGTAGAGCTGTTGGGATTACAAATTATTTCTTGGGATATTTCAAAAGTTACTGGAAGGTGATCAGAACCGAAGTCAGCATGGGTAACCAATTGGCTACAAAGTTGACATGAATCAGTTAAGACCAAATCAATAGTGGAGGGATTTCTTGCAGAAGAAAAGCATGTTGGGCTGTTTGGATATTGAATAGTGTAATAACCTGCAGAACAATCATCAAACAGAATATTACCATTGGAATTGCTTTGAGCATTATTCCATGAGCGGTGTTTTGCATTAAAATCACCAATAATGAAGAATTTAGACCTATGACGGGTAAGTTTCTGGAGGTCACCCTTGAGAAAATTCTTTTGCTGGCCTACGCATTGGAATGGCAAATAGGCAGCTATAAACGTAAGTTGTCCAAATTTTGTTTCAACAGAAACTCCCAAAGTTTCAAAAACTTTGGTTTCAAATGAAGAAAGAATTTTATGTTTGATTCGTCTATGAATAATGATGGCAACGCCACCACAGGGTCCATCAAGACGATCATTTCTATAAATCAAGTAATTTGCGTCCTTCTTAACCTTATGGGCAGGTTTAAGGAACGTTTCAGTTATAACGGCAATATGCACGTTATGAACTCTCAAAAAGTTAAATAGCTCGTCTTCATTATCTTTAAGAGATCGAGCATTCCAATTTACAATATTTAATGCTTTAAAATCCATTACTGAATTTTAAAGTCATGACAATATTATTTGCAAATTTTACTCCAGTTTGAATAGCATCAAACATGGAGTTAGATTTAAGCATATCAGAAATCATGTCAATTAATGAATTCTGTAAAAATTCCATTTTGGGGGCAGTAATGCTTCCTAAGTCACAATTGTCAAAATTTCCGTTAGAACGTTGGTTAGTATTTTGATTTCTACCCGCTGCAATAGCAGCATAGGTAGCTCCATTAACTCGCTGAACATTGTTAGCAGCGAGGGGAGTAGGTACAGATGAAACATTTGAAGCAGGGGTGATATTTGTACCTACGGGTACGAATGTAGAATTTGTTCCTCGCTGACCGTTGTTAACAGCAGAGGAATTTGTACCTGGTCGGAAACGTGGAGCGTTTCCTACCTGACGGTTAGAACGAGATTGTAGGATCGCTTTGCGAGTCTTACATTCCCAAAAATTGGATTTGTGGTTTTCACCACAATTTGAACATTTAAATTTCTTAGGATCTTCCTTCACAGGACAGTCGTCCTTTGCGTGAGAGGAATCACCACAATTCATGCATTTAGCTGGCATGTAGCAATTTTTAGTTCCGTGACCCCATCCCTGGCACTTACGGCACTGGGTGAGGTTTTGGAAATTTCCTCCAGTCTTCCTGAAGTGTTCCCACTTCACTCGGACATGGAGCATAAGGCTAGCTTTTTCTAAGGCCTTAAGGTTGTTTAGTTCACTAAACTTGAAGTGAACTAAATAAAAATCATTAGAAATCCCGTTGCGCGAATCGCCAGGACGGGATTTCATTTTCATTTTGATTACTTGGAGTGGCACAACTCCAAGTAATTTTGCCAGTTCATCTTTGATCTGATCCAGGGATTCACCACTGGGCAGTCCTTTCATGACAACCTTGAACACACGTTCAGTTTTGGTGCCGTAAGTAAAAAATTTGTGCTTCTTCTCAGTAAGATACTTGAGAAGACATTTAAATCCGTCCAAGGTTTCAGCCAATACACGGCATTCACCCCGACGTCCAATTTGTAGTGAAAACTTAACTTTCACGAAATTCAAAAGTTCCATGCGAAGAGCATGGAAATCGGTAGTGGTTATCACAATAGGGGGAATCTTTTCCTTCTTGGCATTAAGCCGGGAAAGTTTACTAGAATTTTTCTTGGATGATGGATCATTCTCATCATCCGTGAGCAAATCAAATTGATTACTCAAATTAATTTCATCAGAAGGGGGGTCAAGAGTTTGCCCCTTTCTTTTGCGTTTAGGCGCCATGGCGGCAGTAAATTTTTATCCAAATCGACTTCCAAGCAGATTACTATAAGAATCTGAAGGATCGAAGAGGAATTTTCCAAATCGATATCCAAGAAGGATTACCTCGGGTAGGGTCCAAACAAGGATCGAAGAGGAATAAGAGTTGAACAAGGTAGAAAATTGTTACAGGTTGAGCACTGAAAAGTGCTGTTTAAATTTGTTGTAGCTTTAGGTAGTAGTAACACTTCCTTCAGCAAAAAGTAAATAGATCCACACGGCAAGAGAGCACGATGCAGACTGTTATAATGTAGTCGTTGTTTTATTGCACACAGGAGCATTAAGAAAGATTTGAATACACGACACCACCGAAACGGAGCATACATTTGTCAGTGTTATTTATTTTTTTTTTTTTTTTCACTCTAGCAAAACGAGCATATCGTTGCACTACATTCCATGTCGGGAGAGCTGTTCTTACTTCATACTAATTGAACGAGCTCAATATTGAAGTCAGCATTGGCCCAGTGGAATCGAGCGTAGACATCGAAAGCATCACACCTCAACAGTTCTGGATCGAATCCCAAATCAGCTACAATAAAAAAGACACAACTGTGAAAGCTCCCTCTGCCTGATGTTTATTTTTCGATTTATTTTTAAAAATCGATTAAATATAAGTGTCAAAAGAAGAAGTAAATTTCATGTCATTTTCACATAAACTTTACTTCCAATGATTTATGACACATGTATATATATATATATATATATATTATATATTATATATTATATTTTGGTGAAAAGTAAAGCTTATGCTTATGGGTTTCAAATCCATTTCAGTTAATTATTATAATTTGACCGATTTTCATTTATCATATGACGATCATATAAAAGTTACCAAATTATCAGCATTGTAAATGTACCAGATATTCATATAGAATTTACCTGAAACATTTTCAATCATATCATTTTCAATGGATTTATAGCGTACTCTAACGGAACTATCCACCTACCCTAATAAACGGGTACCATACTCTAACGATATCATAGATGGTACAACTATCCCACATAAAGTTGGGATGATATCCCGAATTGGTGGTTAGGCGCTTCTTATGGTTATTGTCTATGCGGGTACTCTCTTCTAAAGATCATTCTCTAGCTAATAAATTATCACACTAAAGCTTCATGTTAGCATTTCCAACCAACTCTGAAAATCGCTAACTTCGCGTATGAAGTAACATAAACACACTTTGAATGTACTTAAAGTAATTAATGCGTTTTGAAGCAGTACTGACGGTAATTAAAATTAAATATCTGTACTTAATGTAATTAAAAGTATTGAAAATTTAATTAATGTACTTTAATTACGAAATTCCGACTGTAATCAATTTACTTAAAAAGTAGTTAATGTTCTACATTGTGTAATTAATGTAATTAAAGCAGTAGTTAATGAATTCAATTTAATTACAGCCATTGCCTGGGTCAAGTTAAAGGTTATTGCGTGCTCCTAGTGTTTAGGTGATCGAAATTTTCATACCCGGATTTCCCAATATAGAATAGTACATAAATCTTTATTTGTCGGCCTGTGGGTTTTCCAAACCTGTAAATCTACCTTCGATGTACGGAAACAGTTCTATTGATTGTTTCATACTCAAGTCGTCATCTGACGTATGCCGTCGATAGGTTTGGAAATTGCCGCTATTGTTGCCTCTACTGCTGTACATGCTCCTGTCATCGTCAACTTAACGATCTCAAGGAGACACGGGTAAGAGAAGGGCTGCGCTACTGTACCTTTCGACCAATGACAGTATGATTGATGGTAAGCTCCCATCTAAAGCTATGTACTTTAACTAATCATGATATTTGACGTTAATCATCACCTACTATGTAAATCTTTCACACGCATGAAGTAATATAAATATGATTAATTAAAGTATCATGAAACAGTTATGTGCATAGGGGCTATCTAAAATATTCCATATATTCGAAGTTTAAGAAAAATGTCAGAAGTGCAATTCAAAACATAGGTATGAGTTAAAAGAAAATATAAGACATAATCAAATGTGTCGAACTTAAACATATCAATGAGCTTAAAATATAAAATGTGTTAAGTACCACAAAGTTTCAATTAAACAACTCGAGTATCGCGTAACTTTTGGACTTTCCCCATAACTGAATGCATTGACTGAACTGCGCATGTTCAACTTTTTCAAGTTCCACAACATAAATGAAAGTGAAAAATCAGGTTGTGTGTAGTAAGGTAGATGTCAGTAGCGACAGCAAAAAAAAGGGAAAACCCGAATGTAAAGTGTTTGTCCAATTCCGTTATCCTTTCTACGACAGAACACGAAGCGGAACAATTTTCGACGCTAATTAAGTAGCTATAGGTTCTATACGGTGCGGTATGCGAGGACGAGCTATAACATTAAAGATGATTGTTATCATTTTTCAATTATCCTGTTTTCCACTCAACTAGCGCCAAGGCTTAGGGAAAGACCGTTTGCCTACATATTGTAAAATAGGTACCAAACTGATTTTATCGAGTGAGTGGAAAGTCGTTAACCTCGAGGAGGGAGACGTTTTGGGGCAGTGAATAGCGTGACTGCCATTTTATAGGTCAGCAGGGATAGTTTCGGATTTCTTTGGTCTAGTCTTTCAGTAGAAGTTGGTCGTAACGCAAGGCCAGGAAATAATTAACAAAATTCGCATATATTTATATCTCGTTCTGATGACGCCGTCAAGGAATGTTTAGAGCTTAGCTTTGGATACCACCTCGAACGTGAAGCCATTGCTGCACAGCTCGGGAATAAGGTTGGTTTTGGCAAATGCAGCACCGGGAGTCAAGAATCCGCCACTGACAGAAAAAGATAATTTCATTTAATTTAGTTCGTGTTTTGTGACCATTAATTGCTCATCAACTTACTTTCCAGGCATTTTGTCAGCCTCCTTGAGGATGGTCTTTGCGGACACAAGCAATGCTACACAGGTGGCTCCATAGCCAGGATTAGTTCCCGTTACCTTAGTCCGGATCATCTTATTCGGTGGATAGCTATATTTTTCATTCGGATCCGAGAGCTTCTCTTCCCAACCGCGTCCCTCGAAATGCATTGCAAAGGAAGTGTTGTTCATAGCTCTGTCGGAAGGTCCCTCGTGGGAGACCAGCCCCAGCGAAAATAGTCGAGGGTAGTTTAGCAGTAGATTCTGACCGACTTTTGTCTTCACCATCAGCCAGAAGATTGCTCCGATGAAGGATACGGCCATGACCTCCAGTATACCACTGCAAATAGTAAACGTCGGATCTTAGGAATATAACGCAAACGAAAATAAGAGCTTACCCAAAAGAAATGTACGCCCGCATCTGCAGAGGTCTTTTACCCTCGGTTTCATACAAGAATCGCTGGGTTCTCAGGACACATGACCGATCAGCTCCCATGAATGGTAGCGACCACTTGTTACCGCTTGATTTATGAATCACGGGCCGTTCCTTCAATTTCGGGGCCACTTCCGGCAGCTTCGTTTTGAATAGTTCCCTCCGAATCTGTCCAACTTCCTTCATATTCGCAATTGCATGCACTGCCGATGCCCACGTTCCATAATGAATACTTCCCAGCTCTTTTTGGCCCTTCATTCTAGACACTACATAGCTTTCCACTGAATTGACCACGCCATCGAACTGCTGTTCCAGGAACACCGTTCCCATATCGGCCGGGATACTGTCAAAACCACAAGCCGATATTAGGTAGACTCCCTTCTCCTTAGCCGACTCGTGATACTTCAGCTGCATCCCTTCCAAAAACTGCGGTTCACCACTAACATCTACGTGATGTGTTCCTGCTTCCAGACAAGCTTGGATTACCGGTTCCCCAAACAGACGGTACGGTCCGCAGCAATTGACCACCACGTTACATTCCCGAGCCATCTGGACCAACGATTGTTGATTACCCACATCGGCCGTCACGATCGGAATGTGCGATAGATCCGTGCTAGCCTTCTGGCCCATCTCCGCTAGGGTCGCTTCCAGCTTGGACCGATTCCGACCGGCTATACCCCAGTTCATGTTGGCCAAAATTTTGATGCCCTCGAATACGGTGTACTTGCCGGTGAACCCGGTGGCACCGAATATGATCACGTCTAGTTTGCGTGCCGCGGACCTAAAGCAGGGAACAAAGCGTGAAGGGTAAAGGTCATTCTTGGTGTAAGTGATATGATAAGATTACATTTTAGTGAACAGGTTTCTGAGATATGTACTTACATTTTAAAACTAGATTTTTTTTAAGGTGGCGTAGTTGTGTTAGATGATCCAACGTTACACAAAAAATATGTCAGATAAATAACAAAATAAAATCACATTTGACACATAAAATTTCGACGTTCTCAGTTTGAATGAATGACGACGAGTGTCTACATACAGTGCAACATCTACGATTCAAACCATATGATATAAGATGTTGTTTTTCGGCGTTTTTATTTTGCTTCGTTTATGTACGCATATACATATACATACGTTATAGCGACTCATGGCGAGCAATCCTCGCTGAAACCAATCCACTAGTTATGCAGCGTAGAGGAATATTTTTTTGTATCGTTGAAGCCCGGCGGGGTTAATTCAAAGGGCTGTGATAAAAATAATTGAATTTTTCAACTAATATTGTGTAAATTACCACCTAAAATGATTTGATTGTGTGTTCAATTTAACTACCGTCGCGATCTTGAAAGAACAAACATGCACGATTGGCTTTCGCAAGTATCAGGTCAAATTGTCTCAGCCAGATTATGGATATAGCGACTTTGTAATTTCCTAAAATGTACTTCTGAACTTCCGGTAGCTTTTTACGGCCATAAATAGGAGACTGATCAGAGAACTTGTTGAGTTAGTTAGCTTAGCTCTATTATAGAGACTTTAAGCACCTGGCTGGTTCGTCTTTTTGGGAAAAGAGAGTGGCAGCTCGTCAAGGGAGCCCCCTAGTTACAGAGTTTTGAAGGGTGAAGATTCCAGAAAGGAGCCCCCTAGTTTCGGAGTTGGGTGTTCCAGAAGGGTAGCCCCCCTAATTACAGAGTTTTTGTTTTACAGAGTTTTCGTTTAAACAGAGTTAAGTACGGAGTTGTACCTAGGACGTAGTCTTGGTTCGATAAACAGAGTTTTCGGAGTTTGTCATCTGGCGACGTACCTAGTTCGACCTTCATCAATTATTTAACGCTTAACGTCCATGGCGACTTAAACCAAGTGAGTACCTATTTCCGCTCGTTTAAGGCAATGTTAAAGTTAAAAAATGCGCTTTGCGAAAAAAATAGAAGACACAAATCAGCAAAATAATATTTAAAATTAATAGTAAACCAGATTCAGTTTCATGTACCAATTACCGCTCACGTTCTGATGAGATGAGACGCTCCTTCTAGATCCAATGTTCCATTAATTTTTATTTGATTTTTATTGATTAATTGATATTGTTTTGACCGGAAGAACAGTTAATGTGTTCTGTAACTTTTCATTTTTTTTATATAAGCGTAACATTATCGATACAATTGTAAAAGGACAATTACAATTGTAAAAGGACTGACATAGCCCCAAGGCTGCAAAATACGTGTCGATGCATGTTGACATAGCTGGTTCTCGGCAATAAGGTTACCAAAGTTTAAGATTAAACTTCTAGTAACCCTACAACCATCACAAAAGCGAGTTTCTGGTAGCCTTATTTGATGTTTTGTTTTGATTCTGCGCTCCGTTTCGCATCGTTCCATGTCGTTTTTCTCTGTTCCCTGTGCTAGATGGCGTTTGAGCAATTTTTAGTTTGCACGGCAATTGGGTTCTTCAATATTCGTAATCTGCATTAAAAATGGAACTCAAACCCCAACTATAATCAATTTTGGTACACTGGAACTATTTTAAATAAGTACGATTACATTTGCAAAAATCAAATTGTATGGGAGCGAGCTGTCAGTTTGTTAGTTTAGTGTCAAACAGTGAAGTTATTATTTTGCTTTAAATCAAGAAAAAGTATGTGGATTCGAAAAAAATATCGCTGTGCTCAGAAAACGAAACTCTTCCAGATGATGTATAAAAACCTGTACATTTTTCAAAATTAAAGAACCCAATTGATCCGAAAAATAGCCTTTTTTTTACAAAAGTGAGCGCTATCTGGGGATGAGCGGAGACCGGTTCATTGATGATGTATGGAAATATTTATTAAAAGTAAAGTTGTGTGGATGTGACAAATGCTTTCTTGGGCCGTATAGTGGCCTGGCTTCAGCGATCAAAGATGCTCACACATTAACACAACAGCGCTGCTATAATGCAGACACGCTAGAAACGCATTTATTGCGACTACGTCTGATGGTGATACACCAATACCTACGTCGTGAGCATTTGTCTTATCTTAGGGAATGGGAAGCGTTTGCCGTTAACCAGTTGATATGATTGTTTTGTTGCAAACTAAACGCCGTTCGGCCGTTCGCAATGCTGTTGTATTTTATAAGGACTGTTTCAATTTGAAACTAGAACAGAAACGCACCTCTCGCAATGCTGAGTTGCAGTTTCATTAATCGAGCACTATTTTGCACCAGATTTGCAACTGCTCGACTATTCTGTTTTATTTCTGAGCGAGTTTGAAACACGAATGGCACTCTGTTTCAAATTTCTTTGGATGTGTTCGAGATGTTTCGAAGAGCTTCACAAACAAAAAACGGAGAACTTCATAGAGAACAGTAAAGTTTATGGAACTATGATGACAAACATCTTTTAGAACTGTGCGTTGTGCTGATCGTGTTGCAGTTTTATTTTTGACAGTTTCAAATTATAGAATTGACGAGTAGTTTAAAACAATTTTGAAACTCAGCATTGCGAACGGCCTTAATATAAATTTACAAACACCTTATGCCAAGATGTACATCCTAAATTTCTAACCTCAAAATAGCTATTTATTCAACAAGTTGCAGAAAGAAGATTTTTTCAACACTAGTCGTGTTGACGACGAGTGTTGAAAAAATCGTATTTTGCAACGAGTTGCATACCAAATGTTTTGCACTTTCTCTATAATAAAGTATTAAAAAAAAAGGTTTGCATTCAAAAGAGTGTCGAAAAGTAGAACTTTTCGGCACTGGATGCTGAAAAGTAGTAGTGGTAGTACTTTTCGACACTGTTATTCCATTTATGAAAAGTAGGCCATTATGTTATTTAAAACATTTTTTATTTGAAAAGTAGTTCAGCACCAAACGGAATGTTATTATTACAGATGACTCCCAAATTTATTCACCTTTCCATATGTACCGTTAGTTCTGATAAGGGGTCGCGAAATATTTGTTTATTGTTGAAAATGCAAAACGGCTTCTTTCGGCTCAACTTGGCTTACGGATTTTCTTGGGCCTATTAGCCATTGAAACGCCATTGGGATTTTATTTGGCCTATCGAACGGAAAGAAAAGTGAATTCGCGTGCGCCTTTTGTACACATCAAGTTTGTTTTAGAGATCTTATTTTGCGTTCTTCAACACTTCGTCGTGCAGCTATTGAATAGAAGCATCGTACAAAACCTGTGTTCACACTGCAATCATAGATATTTATTTGATGTTTTCAGCTCGATAGGCCCAAAACGGGCGATTGAGCCGAAGTAGTGCTCTACCCTACCTATTTTTCAGCACGCGGTACAGTAAAGGGTGTACCGTTTAAAATCCGCTCACACAAAATTCATTCTCAAAATTCGAGTTTTTATCCGATTATCACCAAATTTTCAGGGAGTAAAAAGAAACAATTGAAGTTAGTTTAGGCATCATTCTTTTAATTTATTTCACCTTCACATCCGAAAGCGCGAACATTTGCCTTAACCCCAGCCATAAGGTTCTGAACGACCTCAGAATCGACAGTTTTTTGCATATTAACCCATGTTTTCTTTATTTCTTCTACATTCTTCACCACTCGTTTTAGAAGATGCTCCTTCATAATGGTCCAGTATTTTTCTATTGGGCGCAGTTCCGGAGTGCTTGGGGGGTTCAAATCTTTCGGCACGAAATTGACATCATTCGCCTTATACCACTCTAGCACGTCCTTCGTGTTGTGGCATGATGCCAAATCCGGCCAGAAGATCGTCGGACCGTCGTGAGCCTTCAGGAGAGGGAGAAGTCGCTTTTGGAGACACTCTTCCAAATACACCTGTCCATTCATGGTACTTGCGGTAACGGAAGGTGTACTCCTATTTCCGCAAGTATAAATCGCTTGCCAAATTAAGAACTTCTTGGCGAACTTCGACATCTTCTGTGTCCGGAGGTTCTCGGGAACATCACACTTATCCTTGGCGTCATCCATTACGCAGCAGTGTGGTTTCGTTTACTTCTGGTCGTACAACTTGGTAATGCTAAACCAAACATCGGAGAGATAGTAAATTTCGCCAAAGCACTCGACGCGGATCCAGCTGAAATGGAAGCTGTTTATCGCATTGGTGAGGAAAGGGGAGTCTTCATGAAGTTCAAATCAGAGGAAGCGATGCTCCATGCTCTGACATACAATTCGGAGGATTTAATATTCCATTACGCGAATGGAACGACATCAAAGGTACGCATGTCGCATGCTGGTGAATTCATCCAATATGTGCGTGTGTATGACTTTCCACCAGAGGTACCCGACAACGGGCTGGATAACGTGCTATGAGAAATTTGTGCGGGACAAATGTCCGATCTATGCTTTGAGGGTATATACAGGGATACGCGTTATATACATAGAGGTAACTCTAAGACCAGAAGGTCCCGAAGAAACGAGCTCAACTTTTTGGCTCAGCTCTGGTACTATCTTCGGTCCCAAGCTAATCGATGCACCCCTCGAAACATTGGAAAATCCACTAACCCCTCATTTTATCTGTCAGACTTTCATAGTGAATCAAAACAAACATTGTGTAGTAGTAGAATTTCGACTAGAATGGGGTACGTTAATCGTTTGCTTGGGACCAATAGGCTAGTCAAGTACCGTGCTGGACCGAAATCCGTACACCTAAGCACGAGAGAATCATTAACGGTCAATACTAAATAATGCTATCACATTATGCTCTGTATCACATCTTTTTCCTTTACATTTATCTTTATTTTTCCAATATTTGCAAACACCAGGTCTTAAAATTACCTTCAATTATTAGAAAAAAGGATTTAAATTGCACATATCTTGAATCAAAATCCGTACAGCGTTTTACGATTGAATCAAAATCCGTACAGTTTTGAATCGAAATCCGTACACTGTGTTGAGGATGAATCAAAATCCGTACATGAATGTAAATCGATCCAAATCAATGAAAAAAAACGTGTTGCTATCTTGAATAAAGTATTTTTTTTGTAGTTGCTTGGCTAAGAGTCCAAAACAGCTATATTCGTTTAAATACACTAGTTTAC